GTTTGCGCCAGTTTATTGCTCCTGGGCGCACTGTTTGTAAATGTGCCCAAGACCACAGCACGTTGAGCTGGGGTGGAGCCCACCAGCCTGAGACTGCTCCAACCCAGTTCAACGTGTTGCAGGGAAGGGCTGGCTGGTGCACCAGGGTGCTTCAGGGTGGGTCTCACTGGCAGGCAGCCCCTGCACTGAAGCACCCTGGTGCCCCAGCCAGCCCCTCCCCGCAGCACGGTGAGCTGGGTTAGAGCAGAGTAAATAACACTGCTACCATAGGCTAGTACTTGTGTCTGGCAGTACTATCCTATGGTAGAGTTAATTAGTTTACTTTGTCCTAATAGACTGCTCATGTAGACACTGATATTTTACTGTGGAGCTAATTAGGCACCTCGTGTAGACCTCTGGTCCTAGATCCTTATTAAAGCTAGAAAGAAGTAATTATTTAGTTTATAGTAAAACCAATCAGCTTTCATAGATTATGACGTGACAAACAGGTATCAGGTCACAATATTAACAGCATTCGAGGTAGACTTTAAAAGCAGCACAGTGGCAGATGCAACTCCCTCCTTTAGACACGTTCAGCTTGGTTTTAAAACCTGCATCTTGGTCCACATGTCCATGTTGGGACTTCTCCTTTGGTTTCTTTCCATCTGTCCGCAGCTGAGCATGCATAGCTCTGAGTTGTTTTTGTGCAAGCTGCTTGCACACCTGCTGCGCCTCCTTCTGGAAGGGTCTAATGCTCCTCCGTTATGGCTAGAAATTAAGTCCTTTCTTTTCTTTTAGAGTGGTTGGCGGCTTTGAGACTCTGACAGCAATGGAGAATGTTGACAGCGATCCAAAAACAGACCGTCCCAAGGTACTTCTTTCAATAAAAAAAGGTTACCAGAGAAAGGAAGAGCCTTTATGTCCCTGGGTGCATTGTGTAGCAGCTTGTCGCTGCTTTATTTTTAAAACGGAACTTCAGGAAAATAAAACCTCACCAATTAGCAAATTCCAGTCACTTTTTTCTGTTCCCAGGAGGAAATACGAATAGAGTCAACAACTGTTTTTGTTGATCCGTACGAAGAGGCAGATGCTCAGGTGAGGATGAAATAATTTGTGTTATAGATCTGCAAATACAGGTTCTGGCCTGGAATTTTTCATTTTCCCAGTGACCTTAGCAGTGGCCCTTCCAGCTCTTTGACAATGCAGACTCCTCCTCTGCCTTCCTCTCCTTTACAGAGGAACTCTGTTAATCCATTTCACTTTGTTTACAGATAAGGATTAAACTGCTGGGGCTTGGGGTTGCTGCATTTGCCAGAAGCATTGCCAGTTTTTTCAGTAGATAATGGCTGGAAAAGAACACTGGGGATGATTCCCCATACACTGTACTTACAAGGGCTCCCCCTTCAAGGCCTCACAGTATTAGGCAGCCACAGATGACAGGTACTACCTGCTAGGGCTGCGCGGAGCTTCGGTTGCTGATTTGATTCGGCCGTATTCGGTGGCCGAATCTCCAGATCGAATCAGGAGACCCTTTAATCTCTCCGAATTGAATCAGAATCCTTCAAATCTGTTTGGGGAGATTCAGAAAGATTTGGCGATTCGGACATAGGTATAGCTTTAAATGTTTTTTCTACACACCTCCAGGATGGAGTGTCCCACAGGAGTGTGGGGGCTCCCCAGCACACTCAGCAGCAACCCAGAAATGGACCAGAAGCAATTCCAGTCCATTTCCGAGTCTGCTGGGGAAGTGTGCTGGGGGTCCCCCCCCCCCAACTCAGCGACTGGTGCTTCCTGGGTCTGGGGGGGCACCTGGGGTCCCCTTCTGGCCAGTCACCAAGCCAGAAGGGGGGGGCAGCACACTCCCCTGCGGATCCAGAAGTGGACTGGAAATATTTCCAGTCCACTTCCAGGTTTGCAGCTGAGCACGTGGAGGGCCCCACCACACTCCTGGGGGATGCTTCATCCACCCCAGCATCATAGCGTTCATGAGCTGCACCTGGTACCTGGAGGGATGTAGAAAAAACATTTAAAGCTGTGTCCATGTCCAAATCACTGATTCTCTGAATTAGCATTGAATCTTCAGATTTGGATTCAGCCAAATTGAATTGTGGACAGTGATCTGAATCAACTAATTGAATCACTGTCCCTGATTCGGGCCAAATCCAAATCAAATAGGGCCCATTTCGCACACCCCAACTACCTGCAGTGGAGAGATGGCCACTGCAAATTCATTTGTAGTGGCTGTCCTGGGATATGCATATCTAAGTGGCCCTTATAAGTACAACAATGCTGTGCACTACTTCTAAAGTGACTTGCAGCTTCAAAGCATTCTAGACATTGTCTTCTACCCTTTGAACTGACTGGCAACATGCTCTAATAGTTGTTTTTTGTAGGTTGCTGCTGAGAGAGAGAAGGCACAACAAGAGGAAGAAGCAGCCAGAACTAAAGCTCAGCCTGTGGTGACAAAGAAAGAGACCCAGGCTCCCAAGACTTACCGGCAAGGCATAGGGAAGTACATTAACATGGCTGCAATGTAAGTCTCCTGCACTACTGTGCTTTGTTTAGCTTTTTGCCCTGGGAACTATCGTCCTTTCTGTGGCACTACCCCTACCTAGTGATCTTGCTCAGGGTTTGTGTGGAGATGCAGTAACGTATCTGATGTCTGCTTTATGCCACTGGACTTTGCATGCTGTGTACACCATAGCAATGCATGTTCCATCAGGTTCCATTGTCATAGGAGTAAAAGCCCAAATATTTTTTCAGAAGGGCTGACTTGGAAACAACTGTTTTGATCAACACTAGTGTGCCGGTATAGGTTTCAGAATTACATACATTTTCTTGCTGTTAGATACCCTTTGAAGAGGATCCTTTACTTCAGTTCTTGGACAGGGCCTGAATTGAAGCTTTTGTCTTTCCCCTTCTAAAGAAGTTATTGCTAACTCCAAAAGTATCATTGTTTTGCCTGCACTTTGAGCTGCTGTTGGTTGTAGCAGCCTTTCACTGCTGTAGTGACAGCACAGAACCCTCATATCATGCGCAGCTTTACAAAAGTTTTGGAAAAATTTAAAAAGAATTTTTGCCAGCCTTCCACAGATTTGCTGTCACACTTGTATGTTCCCTGAACATATGACAGTGTGCGGACAGCTGACTGTTCTGCATACATGTATCAGTGCAGTTATGAAACTGAGGTGACATGGGATGTTTTAGCACGCATGCAAAAACATTTGAGCTTTTAAACATTCGAGTTACAAACCTTTGATGGTTGCTTCTAATTTAAAATGATCTTGGAATTCAGGTGAGACTGACATGGATTTCATCTTCCACCCTGTTACTGTGGGAACAGGGAGGAAAACTTGCTGGATTAATGGTCAGTGCTGGCTGGGCCAAGGAGTCTGGGGGCTTTTTTCACTAACTTTCTTCTACAAAAATGTGAAATTTGGTCTATAATGAACCCTCTGGTGTTACTCTGGAGCCTGCTGGCTACTTGGACCTAATCCTAATGGTACTTTGGGGCCTGACAAGCTAACACATTTCCACAGGATTTACAGACTGTATTTAAGAGGTCAGGAATGGCAATGTGCTGTTGTGGGTCAGGGTGAAGGTATGATGACAAAAATGGGTGGGATGGGGAAAACCTGCTGTGGCCCTAGTTGGCTGTCCAACCCTTCTGTTTGCTGCTCTTCCCCTACCTACAGAGGCAGTTCACTTTTGTGCAAGCAGCCTTGTACGTTCCTGTGGCTCTGCTTGAACACCTGTCCTGCCTAGATTTACTTCTGTTGTGCCCTTAGCCATTGATTCAAGCCAGTCTTTCAAAAGCCAAGCCTGGAACCATCTCCCAAGGTGCCAAGCAGCTTTGCCCTGATGAGCTGCCCCAAATCTCCCTCTCTTCAGCATCCCTGTGCATTAGATGCAGTGGGCTTGGCTCCAGTCTAGATCACACTGGGAGGAGAACAGGCTTCAGCAGCTTTAGCCCTCCTAACGGTAATAGTCACTGATCGCTGTTTTTCCTTTGGACGCAGGAAGCGAACAGCAGAAGAGGATGGGCCTTCAACCAGTGCAGCTGTGAAGAAAGAGAAAAAGAGTGCAGGCTTTGGGGACTTCAGTTCCTGGTAGCACAGTGGGAAGCCTGTCACTGGAGAAGTACAGCAGAAGAGAGCCTCCTACTAGCGCCAGAGAGCCTGACAGACAGGCTGTCCCGGGGAGGGAAGTCACAAGCCCCCCCCCTTCCAGTGGGGAAGAAAAATCACTGCTTTGTTAAAGCTCATTAATGCGGCTTTGTGTTCTAGAGAGCGATGTTCCTCCAACTGCATCTACCTCGAAGGCCTTTTTGTTGTGTTGTTTTTATAGCCGTGGAGTGGGCAGCTCTACTATTTTTTTAAACCATTGCCTCTTTAGAGCCTCTTTCTTTGCCTCGCTGTCTGGCTGATTAAGCAGAACCATGTAACATGGGGACAGCAGCTTGCTATGCCTTTTTCAGATCACCACTTGCAGATGAGACAGGTTACTACTGCCAAGGGCAGGAAAGGGACAACTTGGCTCTAGAGCAGGAGGTGGGGTTAGGTGAGTAGGTCTTTGCTGAAACTGTGGACTCCTGGTTTTCCTTCACTGCGCTTTTGAGCCCTTGTTCTGGCCCAGGATTGCTGGATAGATCTCTGTCTGCAGTCCTACCTCCTAATAGGCTTATAGACTACTGTCTGTCCATACAAATCCTCCTCCTCTTGACCAAATAGAGCAATTGCTGCAGCCATCCAGTTCCCTCTAGCCTGAGAATCAAATGCTGTGGGCACCTGAAGGTGTCTCTCCCTACCTTAACATGGCTTTCAGGAGTTGAGTAGAAGTTTTACTATCTGACTGTAAATAATACATTTCTATTGGCATTTTCATATTTTATTTTAGGAGAAGTCTCCATTTATACAGAATTTCAATAAAATCTTTGGGTGAAATGTTTTCATTATCATTCTTTGATTTCCTGTTGTTCAATGATCATTTTCCAAGACTGTAGCCTTACAAAGGTCTTACCAGGAAATGATTCACCCATACTTTATAAAAGGTACTTACAAAGAAAGCTGAGTTCTCCGCGGATATGCTGATGATTTTCTGTTAAATTATAGGAAGTTCAAGCTAGCTTGAAAGAATAACGGGGATTTTTGTTTTAAAATAATTTTGCAGTGCATGAACTTGAAAATAACAAACAACTGTCTAGCTCGACACAAGGAACATTCTGGTATTTCCCCTCAAACTGACTCGTGTGTTTGTTCCTTCTGGCCTAGCTTCCCCCCCCCCCCCCCCCCCGTAAATCTTTGCTCATCCCTCCTGTTTGACTGCCATTGTAGTACATCTTTAGTTGCAAAGCTCACAAGTATTACAGTACCTGGTTTCCTTTGGGTACTTTCCAGTTCTGTTCTGTGCTGGCAGCGTTATACAAGGTTTCTTCCATTCAGAGATTTCCCTGCAGCATAGGTGTCCTTCACTGCAAAAAATAAGCTGGCAAAAAGGGATAAATATGAGTATTAGATTAGACACTGGCAGGAAATCTACATATTGGAGATGTCAGTCAAGCAAGTATCATGTAGGCATTGGGGACCCCTGACAGCATACTGTTTTTATTGATTTCACACATTTTCATTTGCTTTGTGTTGGTTTTCATAAGTCACCTTCCACCTCACAGTGCATTTGTTACTGTGGAAATAAATTAGAATATACTGCTTCTATAGATGTTACTGAGCTTTGTCTGAAGTCGGCTATTATATAATAGCTTGAAAGGCAGATCATTGGTAGAAAGATTGGTGCTGATGTGATTGTAGAAGTGCATAGTACTTCATGCTGGCCCAAGCACTGCTTTACCATTGCAGGAAGTGCTGGATTTATTAGCACAAGCTGCTTATTAAGGACTCCTGGTAAGTTAGGATTCCTTATTATGGACTTTAACAGCATCAGGTCCTCCATGGCTGCAGAGAAAACCACATGCCCCAGGCTTCCTGGCAGAAGAACATGCTCAGGCACAATTATCTGAAAAGGTCTGTCCATATCCTTGCTGGCTAAATGGATAAGGGGTTGCTGTCATTCAAAATAAAGTCTGACAACTGAGAGCATAGTACAAGGCCCACCTATTTACTAAAGCTTCCCTACTATAAATCAACAGTGGAGGTGGCAGGGGGAAGGAGAAAGCAGCTTTCTGGAGCTTAGAAAGGGCAAGGGACAGAGTCCTCTAAGCTCTGCCCTGGGGACTGAATTTCCTTGTTAGATATTGGGCACTAGAGGAAATGTAGGCAGCAGCAGTGAGGCTTCACCTGCCAGTTGACCCTAATCACAGTCTTGTTCCTTGCCCCACTTTTCCTTGTTTGCAGACACTAGCAAGTTTGATATTTTAATTGCCTAAAAGATCTTGGCACAGGTTTGTGGTGACATTCAGGAAGTCAAATGCTTTTCTTGGTATCACATGGGGAGTCAGCAGCTTGGCTGAGATTTGAACAAACTTGTTTTCCAGCATAAGGAATACATACTATGACATAACAGGGCAACCGGAGTGGGGCGGGGGGGTTGTTTCTTTGCCATAGCTGCGTGATCACAACTGCAAGTCACTGCATGTGGCAGCTACCCTGGGTGCCACGCTGCATTCTTACACTGCTGAATGTATGAACTACTTAAAAACACTCAACTGCAGTCAGGAGGGCCAAATACATAGATATGATTCCTTCCCATAGTGCGCTGGGGCTATTAATGAAAATTGCACACTCAGTGCAATTTTGGGTTGTGGAACCTTGTTTAGACTATGTAGTAAAGAGATTAAACCCAGAAGGTGGCTCATTGAATTGAAATTCAGTTTGAGGGGAAGAGATGCTGTGCTTAGACACTTGTAGCTTGGCAAACCAGAATCAAAACACTATCAACTGCCAGGGGTAGACGTATGAAACTACTTTTGCTTTTAGTTAAATTAGCTGGGACTGAGCCCAGGATGTGCCACCCTTTTGGGAGTAGCTTCACACAGATGGCTGAGCAGTTGGGATGCTCCAGCTGCTGTCTATGCCAGCTCTCACTGGTCCTCCCTCCTGTTTTTTTCCTTTCTTTTTTTGGGGGTGGGGACTTTTATTCCTGGTGCCCTCCTGGAGCATGGATGCTGGGACTTGTCCTTTTAGGATTATATCTGTGTTCCTCTTTATCTTTTCTCTTGCTGTTTACCTGCCCCATCTCTTTTATCTTTTCCCTTTGTATTAAATATTCTTGGGTGAGAAGAGAGCGTACAGGGGATTTTTAGATGAGCCAAGTACAGTACCTCTTTTGCATGCAAGAGACAACAGTAAACCTTTTTCACTTTGCGTTGTGACAGAGGCCAAGAGAGAGGTTGGTGGGTGGGGAGTGCTTTTACTGCCTAGCCGCAGTACCACATTTACAGCATATCAATAAGGTGGCTAAAAGCCATGTACAAGAGAGTGGCGAAAGGAAGCATCAAACAAACAAATGTAGTGATCACTCCCTCTCCCAGCCCAGGGAGGGGTCAGGTTAAGAGTAAAAAGAGCCTTGCACTTACCACACTGCCCGTGTTGTATGGTTAAACAGAGACATTCAGACTTCAGTACTACCAGGCCCATTTCCCACCAGGCCAAGTTCTCCCACACAGTTCAATCCAAACTTACAGCCAGATGTGCACAAATCAGCAGTTCACAGCTAAGGCACCCTCGCCAGGCTTCGTCACTTGACAGATGCTGCCTGCCATTGTGCCCTGTCAAAACTGAACTCTGGGCAGCAGGGAGGAAGAGCCTGGCTTGGGTGGCAGCTGTTACTGGGTGCACACCTGCAATCACTGCACACTGAGCTCTCTTTTTAGTCACTGGAGGATATTTGGCTATATTACCAAGCCATCAAATGCAGCATTGAGAGGGGCAGTGCCCTAGACATCAGCATCTTACAGAGCCAAAACCCTGGCAGGACAAACTGGGAGGAGGAGGGCGATAGGTTTCAGCAGCAGCTTCCTCACCTCCAAGGCTTGGAGATTTCTTTGAAACTGTTGCATGGAGCAACAGAGACCGAGCAGTTTGACAAGTGAGATGGATTTGCCTTGCTCAGTGGGCCCTTTCCTGCCCATCCACGATGGGCTTTCATAGCAGTTTGTGCAGCTCTTAAAATTAGCTTAAAGCCCTTGCCTCCTTGTCATTTATCTGTGAGGAACTGCTCACTGTGGACAGATGCCCTAAGGGGGATGTCAGGCTGTTCCTTGGAGCACGTCCTGCCCATTCCTCCGTCTAGCTGGTGTTCTCGCAGCAGCTAATGGGGCAGGGACAGAGGGGAGCTGGAGCTGCTCTGAACTGGCTGGCAAAGACCACATGAGCACACAGCTGCTGGCTGAGAACATATTTGTGCTTCCCACCACCCTGCTTTGTGCAGCAGCAGCTTTTGGCTGCCCCTACAGCTTCACTGCAGTCCTTTCCCCTGTGGGGTGGCCCTCGCCAAGGCAAACTCCGCCAGCCTTCAGCATGTCCGTCAGACAGCTGCAAGCCTTGGCCCCAAACCTTGAGAAGAAATGCTTTGGCTCACGCTGCTTTCTTGCTCTAGCAGCACATCACAGCTGCTGCTTTCGTCACCTGGTATGCAGCCCAGCTCCCTCCGGGGTACCTGCCTGCCTGGAGGTGCACATTTCTAAGGCCATTGTTGGTGCTCAGAACAAACAAAGGAGCAAGAGCTGATAGAAACCAGGCACAGATCAGGCAGTTTCTGGGTCCCCTGCCAAAGCACCGCAGGCCAGAGTCTGAGCAGAGCTGGCTCGTCATGTGAATGCTGGCACCAGGCAGGGAGTGTGCTTGGCTCGCTTCACCCATGACTCTCCTCAGACCAAACAGGCTGAAGCCGCTGGAGGCGAGAGGCACGTCTGAGTAGTCATAGACCACTCTTCTGGCCTCAGGCAGCCCTTGCTGTTCATGGTTGAGAACAGCTGACCAGAGAGTGCCTTGGAGCTGCTCAGAGCTGCCTGTTTGCAGAGATGTAAGTGACGGAGTCCTCAGTCTGGGCTTCGAGGCCAGTTTCCTTTGAAAAACCATGGTCAGCAGCCCTTCAGCTGGGATGCAGGCATAGGAAATAGGAAATCCTCTCTCCCTCACCCTCGGCTCTCTCTTAATAATTGATTTTCCAGCCAAGTCTGGTCTCTCTTAGCATGATGTGCGAGAGCTTTAGCCTTTGGATTTTAAATGAAGTTGAATTCCCACTGCAGTGACTCACCTGTTTGCATCCAAGGCTGTCTCTGAAGACAGTGGCAGGAAGGAGGAAGTGTCGCATCACCCCAGAGCCTGTGCTAAGCTTTTTGCCTTTGCCAGCAAGGGAAGAGGCTTCTAGTAATTCCCACCCCCATCCCCCAACCTCAGAAGAAAATGCCTACTGCCAGGGGAAGGTGGAGGAACACAGTCACATTTTGTGCAGCTGACAAGGCTGTTTGGAGGATCTGGTGCAAATTAATGCACTTTTCCTGCCTTTAGCCTTGCAGACTTGAAGAGAACAAGATAAAGGCAGTAGCTAGAAATATCTTACAGCAGCTGCAGCGTGGTCTTGTACAGATTTACTGGGAGGAAGTGATTCTTTGGGTGAAGGTGCCAACATTCAGTTGAATAGCTGCCCTCTTGGCCAGCTGGGACCTGCACCGGGAGAATATGGGTCTCCCTTTCTGGGGCTGGGCTGCAAAGCAAAGGCCGTGGGAGGTGTTCAGAATCGAGCAGGATTGCTACCCAGCCTCTGGCATTGTTACGCCTTTGAGCATGGACCTGCCTGCCCCCGAGAGGTTTCCAGAAACCAGCCATGACTCCATCTGAACAAAGTACTTGTGCAGTTAACAAACATGCCACCAAACAGCCTCTCCGTGCTTTCCCGTGTGTTGCCCTGCGATTCCAGTCTGCACTGCTACCGACTCTTGTACGTGCGTGCTCCTGCCTGGGCTTCACCATAACCCCAGAGATCTTCCTGGAGCCTCCTGCCTTAGCAGGCACAGCCGGTGGCGGGATGGGCTGGGCTCACACCTTTCACTCCCATGGAAGCCAGAGGAATTCATGCTTGTGCCACTGAGGACAGCGTTCAGCAACTTGGGCACTCCCTGCCTCTCAGGGACTTGAGACAGAAGGCCTGAATGGCTGGTTTACAACCAGGGCTTGTGTAAGACATATAGGGGCCCTGGGTGTGTCATCACTCACAACCATTAAGGGGGAAGAACCCCTAGCTACCACCTAAACCAACAATAAGCCTGCTCTTCAAGTCAGCAAGTCTGTCTGCTTCCTTCCGGTAATGAGCTGGAGGAAGACGTGACACAGACCTCTTGCTATTTCTGCAGGTAGCATGCTCGCCCCCCAAGTACACAAGTCTATCCTGATCACTTCTATTCCCCTCTCCCTGCATTACACTGTCATCATCCTAATTTACTGCACTGTACAGGAGCTCTGTCCTTTGCTTTGTTTTTGTTTGTTTGTTCATTTGTTTTTTTTTAAAGAAAAATCC